TCATGGAATTATAACCAATTAATAGAATTAAACCCAATACCCAGTCATGGAATTATAACCAATTTATAGAATTAAACCCAATACCCAGTCATAGAGTTATAACCAATTAATAGAATTAAACCCACTACCCAGTCATGGAATTATAACCAATTAATAGAATTAAACCCAATACCCAGTCATGGAATTATAACCAATTAATAGAATTAAACCCAATACCCAGTCATAGAATTATACCACATTAATACAATTAAAACCCGATACCTAGTCATGGAATGATACCAAATTATTAGAATTGTACCCAATCCGCAGTCGTAGGATCCTTTGTTAAACACCAGAAGACCCTCAGTTGTGTTCTGGACGGATTTCTAGTTTTGGGGCTCAGCTCCCTTCCCCCTGTCCCCAGTTTCCTGACGTACTACCCCGCGCGGCGGATCACGGCGGAGGACGGGCTGAAGCACGAGTACTTCCGGGAGACCCCCCTGCCCATCGACCCCTCCATGTTCCCCACCTGGCCGGCCAAGAGCGAGCAGCAGCGCGTCAAGAGGGGCACGAGCCCCCGGCCCCCCGAGGGAGGGCTGGGCTACAGCCAGCTGGTGAGCCCGGGGACCTGGGGGACCTCCTTAGGAGGGAGCCTGAGAGTCGCCTTTGGAAAGTCCAGCTTTCCCTCCGTGCCCTCCCAAAGGGCAAATCCAGTCACTGCTGTGTCCAGGACACAACCAGACCTGGTTTTGTCCCGGTGCAGAACACTCTCTTTTAAAAGTGTACCTTGTTTTACACTTCCAGCTAAGCCTTCAAATTTGTTTGGGAAGTTAGTCTGCAGCCTGGTGAGTTATACAGGTCTTGAGGGTAGAAATATCCCCAATTTATTCCAATATTTGGGCCAGGCTCGTGTTCTTTCTGTCTTTTGGGGTATCCCTGGGACTGTGCTGCCCATGTAAGTCTGGCATGTTCAGAGTCTCAGGTGCCTTAATTCCAGTTCCACATCTCAGCAGAGTTGAAATGGCACTGTACAATTTTGTGCCCAATTTAAGAGTGTAAGGAAGCTGAAAAGGTTACTTAGCCTTGATTTTTCAGGGTATAAAAATTGTCATGACACAACCACAGTGTGTGTTTGATCAGATGCTCACTAAGTGCAGTTTACACTTATTCATACAGTGTGTTCCCAATTTTTTTATCTTTTCCATGCAGTCAAAAGCAGGTGCAAGAACCAGGAACACTCGAGCTGCCTTTAGCAAAGCCAGCTTTTGAACTAGGAATGTTTAAAGATCACAAATAACCCTGCCCAGAACCTGAGCTGTGATGCCACGACAGCAAACATTTGTTTCTCTTTTACAGATGCTTTACTTTTTGTTGTTGTTGTTGAGATTTTTGTGCTGGAGAGGTAAAACCAGCCACTGATCAGTGACCTGTGCTTGCTTTTCCCAGGGTGATGATGATCTGAAAGACACAGGATTTCATCTGACCACCACCAACCAGGGAGCATCTGCTGCAGGGCCTGGCTTCAGCCTCAAGTTTTAAACTCTACGTGAAAGAGGGAGGGGGAAAAAAACCCCACAAAGAAGAAGAAGCACCATTCATGTGAGTGGATTTGAGTGCCCCAGTTCTGTTCTTCGTGTCAGGGGGACGAGATGTGTTTGGTTTTTTTTTTCCCCTGTGAAAAACTCAAACCTTATCACGGATTCCAAGGCTCTGTTTTATAAATCCACGTGGAGTATAACTGCTGCATTCCATTAGAGGACTGGAGTTACCTGAAAACCCCAGGATCATCACAAACTGTGACAAAGAACAACTTGAACTACAGTCCTGGAACAGTTTCTGGTTTCTTTTTAGGTTTTTTTTGTTTTGTTTGTTTGTTTTGTTGGGTTTGGTTTGTTTTTGTTTTTTTTTCTCCTTGTAAATTTGTAGAATTAAAATACATTTTCAATTGTTTAACAGTGTGAAGGATTTCATTGCTTCACCTGCAGCAAAGTTGGATGTTGGTGACAGTAAATAGAGTTTATTTTTTATTTTAAGGGAATTGTTCATGTCTGAATATATTTGGGGCAGAAAAAAAGTGCCAGTTATGAGGTTTCTTTCATGTTACCTTTGAGAGAAGAAGCCTGGGGTGCACTGCTGAGCTGAAAACTGTTTGCTTTGTTCTGTCCATGTATTTCCAGTGGTGCAAAAGAAGTTCCTCTACTGTTTTATAAATCAAAAAAGATGCAATATGGAGACTTGAAACCTTATTTTCTATGGAAGTTCTTTTAATATGCCCTTTTCCCATCAAAAGAAGAGCTTGTGTAGTGATTGTGTAATGCCACATCTCAGGAACGACCAGAGGAGGAATTGTGTTGGAATAGCACATCCCTTGCAGTTCCTGATTTATAATGGGCTCGCTCTGTTCTGGGAACAGGGGAGGTTTGGAAAACACCAAATTTTCAAGCAGTCAGAACTGGGCACCAGGCCAGGAACAGGATTAACAGAAATCATAAACATTCTATCCCTCTCAGTACATTTTGAAGAGTTTTTTCTGAGGGTAAAGGCCTTGGAGCTGGAAGGGGGAGGTGCTGAAGTTGGGGTGAGGTTTGGAAGCAGCTGGGTTGTTTTCCCTGTGCAGGAACGTTTCTGTTTCTGAAGGAGAAACAGCTCTGTCACTGGTCTGTCACTGAAACATTCCCGATTGCAGAAGATTCCTCGGAGAGGGAGCTCAGTAACCCCTTGAAAAGCAGGAGTCCACTGAAGCAGAGCCTGTGTGAACTCAAGGATTAAACCATGACTGACTGCAGAGTTTGTATCTGACATGGAATTATTCCCTTCCCAGCTTCCCTGCACTGCTGCCCCAGCCTTGCCAAGCGCTCCTCGTGCTCTCTTCCAGCTGGATGTGGCACATTTCCCTCAGCCTGGGGGAGGACAGCCATGGAAATCACCTTGTCTGCTCCTGGCTCGGACACCTGAGGGACAAGCTCTGAGCACTTGGGACCTGTTGGGATCAAAATAATAAATACAAACCCTGGGAAGGGGATCTGGGGGGAAAAGATGTTCTGGGGATACCTGACCTGCCCACGGTGGACGGTGGAGTTGAGTGAGACAGGGCTGCTGTGCCCCACACCCTCCTCCTGAGCAGGAGGAGCAAAAGTGGTCCTGGGGCTTAGACTTGGGTAGAACTTCTTGTGTTGCAGAGCACCAGGATCTAAAACAAGGGCAGAAACACTTCCAGAGTATTAAACTGCTCCTTTTTCCTTCCCCAGTCTGCCTCCAGTGCAGCCCAGCTGAGCCATCCCGGTGGCTGACGCAGTTCTGCTCCTGTTTTCCAGCAGTTCCCAGGGATCCACACAGTTCAACTGCACCATCTGACGCTTTTCTTTAAAAAAAAAAATGTTGGTTTTTTTTTTTAATTCTCTGTACAGCACCTACTTGATAAATTCTTTGTCATTAAAACTAATTTGGAAGAGTTTTACATTCCAGTAACCAGTCTCAAGAGTCTCTTTTGCCCAAGGTGAGGAAGCAGCTGATGGAGAAGTTCAGTTGCACTACTGGAAATTAAATATTAAAAAATGCCAAAGAAACAATTTGAAACAGAACTAGCAGGAACTGAAGGAGCTCATTCCAGGGCCTTGTCAGTGCTTCAGTCTGATTCTCCAGGAATAAGTAGTCAGGATCCTTTCTTTTTTCTTCACTATACAAGTGTAAGTTCCTTCATTAATTGCATTTGCAATGATGCTCATGTGATCTTCATTTAAGGATAAATAACCTGGATATGAGTATTCCAGAAGCTCCTTATCTTTGTACCAGCTGTCATAAGAAAAACAACAGAAATTAAAACTACAAATGTCTAGCACAGTTCAATGTGTGTGTTAATTGTTCTTTCTCCCAATAAATTTTTAAGTGCAGAGCAGAGGTGGGACTTCAAGAAAACACAGTTGGGTTTTACTCTGTATTTCAGGTGTAACAGGGCACAATCCTGAGTAATTCTGGAGCTTGAATCTCACTAAAAGTTAATGGGAAAAGTTAATGGGAATTTGGGTCCTCAGTCTAAACCAACTCATGGGCCAATCTCTCAGCATTAAATAACATGCTTGTATTTTAGTAACAGCTAAATAACAATGAACTAAAAGGGTAAATTTAACACTGTTTTTTCTTTTTTTTCAGAATATGGATCAGGGAATTTGGCTTGATCATAGGAATTAGCTTTGTGCTCTGTATGAGAACTGGATTTTATCCTTTTTTTGACCTCCTGGTGGTTTCTGAGAGCTCTGCTTTCAGGCTAAAGAAAAGCTCTGCAACGTTCTGATCAATCACTCTCCCTTCCCACCCCTCTTCCAACTCTGGAAGGAGCCAGTGACACCCTCCAGATTAGAAACAACTCCATTCCCAGTCCCCCAGGTTTGCCATCCTCCCCCATCCTTTCCCTGCAGAGGCTGCCAAGGACTGGGAGGAGGGATGGAGCACTTACTAGACTTTGCCTTTTTTATGGATGATCTTCTGCCCGCAGCGGAAGGTGACGTTCCTGCCCTCAGAAACCGTCTTGGTCTTGGTCCTTGGCGGGGGCAGAGTCGGGGGCACCGTTGGAAATGGGAATTCTGTCCCCCCAGGGAGGAGAGAGGGAAGTGGCAGCAGTTAGTGAGCAGCTCTCATCAGCAAGTTTGGTCCTTCCAAAACACTTGCACAGAATTAGGTTGTCATTTAAGGAGCCTTGAAAGTATGAATTTAAAAATGAGCAATTCTTGGACGGACACGTAACATGATTCACGTGCAAAGATAAAAACTTACTTTGTGGGGTGTAAACTGAGATGGATAAAAATCAACTAGCCCACAGCTATGGAAGAGGATATGAACAGTCCCCAAAGTGTTTGTCATTGTCTGATTGCATCTCTGCATTAATCTGGCCTAAAAAACCCCAATGCTGTGCTGGAGAAAGAGGTACCAGTTCCACGGTACATCTTAAGGCCAGTTATTTGTCTGAAGTTAATTCCACAGCTGCAGCAACTTGGCCTGATCCTGCATTAGTCCCTTATCTGGATCTGTAAAACTGAGAGGCTGGATCAGGATTAACATCCTTCATCTCCTTTTCTGGGAGCAGCTCAAGCCCAGCTGTGCTTGAGATGCCCCTTGTCCTGTTTCTGTCCCCTCCCTGCCTCAGGAACTGCCCTGCAGCCCTTCCCTCTCCCTGCCTGTGGTATTTGTCCCCTGTCACTGGTTCAGTTAAACTAGAGAGGAACGGGACAGTTTAATGTTCCACTCCATGAATGTTTAAACATAAAAGCTGCCCCCTAATACCCGAGACCCCATCTCTGCTGTGCTGCTTGGAGCTGCATCACTTGCACCCACTGATCTCTAGCGTGAAATTAAGATCCTGCCTCTCCCTAAATAACTTTTACCTCCTCCCTCTGTGCAAAACCCCTCCCCAAATCCCAGAAGAAACCTTGGATACCGTAGCAGAAGTCACAGGTGGATGGGCAGTGCTTCTTCATCAGCTTCCTGCGCTTCTCACAGAAGCCTTTTTTTGCCCATGCTGGGCACATAAATAATCTGTCTTTACAGCCTGAAACAGGAGGAGAAACGGGCATTAGAGGGGCTGGGGGAGGGAGTTCCTTCTGAGAAAAAAATCAACACTTCACTTAATCAGATCCCTGAGTGTAAATGGGGGAGCTGGGACAGGGAAGAATCTAAAGGAGGAGAACAAACAGAGCTGGGATCTGACACCACGAGAGCTCTGCAGGATCCAGAGCCCTGGTTCCTTACCATAAAGCCTGTGGATTCCCCACACCTCATCCTGGGAGATGGTCTTTTTCCCAGTCAGGGTGGCGTTGATGTGCATGAGGGCGTTGGGGTTCAGGGAGTGCATCAGGCCCAAGGCGTGGCCTATTTCATGAGCTGCTACATGGACCAGGTCTGTCAGCCAAACACCTGGAAGGAAGGGAAAACCAGCTGGAATTGTGTGGTAAAGTGTGTTTGCTAATCCTAAAACCAGAGGAAATAGTTTAGCACTAGCACGGTCCTGTCAAAGGTTGCCCCAGTTTCATCTTCTTTGTTGGGTCCAAATAAAGCCAATTATTTCCACATGCTCCTAATTTCCAGCAGCAGGACACAGAGCAGTGCCAGACACCAAAGGAGCAATGTTTGAAGGCCTGTCCCTGTGCAACACTCACTCTTGTCAGGTTCCCACAGCCCTGGGCTGGAACTGGGGTTTTTAGCAGGAATATTCCAGTCTGAAAGGGCCTCCACTGAGCTCTGCATCCCCCTCAGCCCACGGGACAAACTCAAGCCTCTTGGCAGCATCCTGAACCCTGCATCCAGCAGGGGTGGATTTTAACTGAAGGCTATGACTGAACTATGGGATAATTCCATGGAATAATTCAGCCAGAAACGGCCCTGAGACCCCACAGGGTCCCTTGGCCCAGCTGAGTCACGGGGCAGAGGAGCAGCTTCCAAACTCCCACAAAACCACAGCTGGCTCTGTTGCCTCTTTTCCACGTCAGGTAAATCCCAGAATGAAAGCTAAACCCCAGGCATTCCCTGTTACCTTTCTTCCAGCTGAACCTGGTGTTGCCCAGGATCCAGTACTCGTGGTCATCGAAGTGGATTTCTCCGTGGGGTGGGAAGAAGGCGTGGGCCAGTTCCCCTGTGGTGCCATCGAAGCAGTGGTGGGTGAGGGACTCCAGACAGTCCGTGTGGTTGATGGAGTAGAAGCCTGTGGAAAAAAAAGCAGCAGATTGAGTGGATCTGGCAGGGTCAGTGAACTCCTGAGTCACTAAAAAGGTCTCTGATGGGATCCCACGTGTTTTCCAACCTCCAGAGCCACAAAAGCAAAGACAAATGCAAAGCAATGGATGGCCACGTGCTGCCCCTGGATTTAGAGCTGTTCCCAGTGGACACAAAGAAGTTTACTTCCCAGCAGGGAATGCTGAGCTTGTCTTGCAACATCACGTGGAAATCATTTTTTTTTAAGAGAGAAGCTGAACTGATAACCCCAGGATGGAACTGTTCTATTTTAAATGTCAATAAGCAGGGGCAGAGTTACAGTGAGAGCTGCTCCCCAGCTCTTTGTCAGCACCACAGCAGGATCACAGTGCATCCTGCATCCCCTGGAACTGGGGACCTGGAGCTCACAGGGAGCAAAACAGACCCCTGGAAGCACATCATGTGCTCTGAGCAGGGTCCTGCAGCACCAGAGCGAGTTGCGAAACGATGGGGAGTCTGCTGGTTGTCTCAGTCCTGCTGCCACATGCACAGGAAATCAGGATTTCACACAGACCATAAATCCCAGGAAGGATTTACATCTGAGGTTGAGGCTGAGCAGAAAAAGCTTCAGCACTGATGTTTTTCCAGGCCCCAGGAACTCCAGAACAACTGCAGAGCAAGAGAGGGGCAGGAGGGAGGGGAGGGAGCAAAGATAGTGCTCCAGTGGGATCAACAAAAGGGAGACCAAACCCAGGAACAACTGGAATCCGTCTCCTGCTCTGGCTCTGTGTGACCCTGGGTATGGCACTTCACCTTCCAACATTCAGATTCCCAACCTGCAGGACAAGAATCTACAGATTCTTATTCTTCTGCAAAATTCCCCATTTCTGGAATAGGAATCTCTGGATTTCCCCATTTCTGGAATACAAATCTGGGGATTTCTGCATTTCTGGGACAGGAATCCGTGGATTTCCCCATCTATCCCAGTGGCAGAGTGCTAATTCTTGGCAAATCCCTAAAGCTTCCTGACCGTAAGGTTCACAGAAAGCGTGAATCGTGATATTAACATTTCCTAAATATTAACAAGGAATTTTAATAAAAAATCTATCAAAATTAATAAGCAATAAAAGCTAAAACAATAAGTAATAAAAGCTAAAAGTAGTTTCTCTGAAAATAATAAGTAATTAAAGCTAAAAGCAGTTTCTCTGCCTGACTAAAGGCAAAGGATGTCCCAACCCTCCTCCAAGAGGCCGAGCCCGTCCAGCACAGGAAGAACATCTCCTGCCTCCCACCCTCTGCTTTACACACTGGAAGTCAATCCCTGGCTCCCTCAGGGACTCACCGATTTTGAGGTCGCTGGGGAGGTGCCGGGGGACCTCCCTGAAGCTGAAGGGGGACACCTCGCTCCACATGCGGAACGCGGCCGCCAGCCCCCGGCGCGTGTCCCTGGCGCTCAGCAGGTTCCTCGGGAAGGACAGGATTCTGCAGGGACACACGACAGCTTCAGGAAAAACGCCCTCCCCTCCTCAAACACCAGCTGGAGGCCACTGTCAGGCAGACAAGGATTTCTGTTCACTCCAACAGGTTCAAATCGGGAGTCGCCTGAACTGGATGTTACCCACGTTTAATGAACCCCCACGGGGATGAATAAAGAGCTGGTGTTCTCCACAATCACGTGCTCTGCACTTCAGCTTTTGCTCCTCCTCTCAAGCACAGCACTTAAGACAAGGTTCCCTCAGATAACTATTTCTATCCTGATGTCTCCCAGTCTGCCGTGCAGGGCTGCTGGAAGAGGAAACGACTGCGTTCCAGCAGCAGGGAACTCCTGCTCCTGACACTTGGGCTACAATGGATGTGCACAATGGTGTAAAATACTCCCAGGCAGAACTTCTGAAAGAGAGTCCCAAAGAATATCAAAGACTTGTTTTCCTATCAAGTTATTTCCTTTAGAAAAAAGCTCTAAATCCCATGGGAGAGAGACCCAAGAGAGGTTTTTGGTTAGGCTACGGAGTGAGCTGGGGGAAAACTCCTGGTGCAGGCCCTGTTTGTACCATGGGAATGCACAGATGGCTCCTGGAAACTTACCTTGGCCCACGGGAAGATCTGCATTCAGGGAATTGCCTCAATGGGGAAAAGTTGGGTATATTCTCTATCCCCTCTGGTTGTTTTTTAGCTATGCTGATTATGTTCTCCCTTCGTCCCAGCACATCCTAAAGGGAGCAGAAGGTTTCATATCAAGCCAGGCTGTTAACGAGGGGAAACCTGGACAATTAAGGCTCTGGTGAGGCTGAGCCTGTTTGGGATGCTCCTGCAAAGGAGCACAGCATTCCCTCACCCCAGGATTGTCAAGGGCTTTTTACTGTTTATTAATAATCCAAGAGCTGCAATCCTTTCCCAAAGACAACAGGGAGAGAGAATCCTAAAAGCACCAAGAGCTCTGTCCTCCTGAAATCAGAGAGATCTCGAAATCCCAACAGGGATTTCCCTCAGGGATGGTTTAGGTTCAAACAGGACTGTTAAAAACATCAGCATGACAGAGTTAGTCCTCCAGTCACGACCTTCTGAGGGAGGTCCCTGCTCAGGAAGCCTGAATCTGCCCTGAAGGGTTTCACTGAAGTGAGAGGTGCAGCATTTGTAGGATTATTCCTATTTCAGAGTGGCTTTAGCAGCTCTCCCTGCACAGGGCTGAGGAATAACCACATGGGCAATACCCAAACCCGTGGCAGGAAGAACTCAGGCCCCAGGATCCCTCTTACTTGTAGGTCAGGTTGAAGTGGTCCCATCTCAAGTGCCCCGGGGTGATGGTGTAGCGTTTTCTCCGTGCTGGAGGACGAGGAAAAGCTGGGCTTTGCAAAGCTGAGGAACCCTCTCTGTACAGGCCAGGGGATGTGGCATCTTCCTTAAAGACAAAGCAGCAGGTTGGAAGGGGTGGGAGACACCCCAGGCCTGAACAGTGTGCAATAAAAACGACCAGTACAGGACATCTGCAGGCTGGGGAGCACAACTGGAGCTGCCTTGGGGGTGTCCAGGAGACAAGATGGTCCTGTCTGGCTGCACCATCCCACCCCAGGGCACTGCAGCCACTCTCCTCTTGGAGTGTGGCACAGATGGAGCAGAAATGAAGCTTCAGGAGGCTTCTGGCCACGGCAAGTGCTGCAGCTCTGCCTGGAAAGTTCTCATTTCCTTTTCGCTTTCCTGTTGCTCTCCAGCCTCGCCACAGAAGAAATGTAAAGCTGGAAAAATGACTAAAACAGGCAGCTCTTTGTGCAGAGAGCTCTTTATAAGAGCTGTGCTGTGGATCTGAAATGCCTTCAAAGTAAACAGCAGCCCTGGAAACCCTGGAGAGGATTTAAACCATCGAACAGTAAAAGACATCAAATTTAGCGACACGTCTGACTCCAATTAGAAAAGCCTTTTCATCCCGAGCAGTGGAGGTAAAAGAATGGGACCCAACATGGTTTTCTGGATGGCTTCCTGCTCTGTCTCCCCTTTCCAGGACTAAGACACTGAATATCTGTGAGCCATCTTTGCTCCAGAGGCACCAGGACGCTTCCCAAGTGACATGTACAGTGGCTGTGGTACAAAAGCTGCACCAGCTCGAGTCTGTTCAGCCTCACAGCACATTCCACAGGAAACAAGAGCTGTCCTCATTTTCCTCATGGAAGAACCGAGGCTCTGAGAGCCAAAGCAGCACGTCCCTGGTGTCACAGCGAGGCAGTGGCAGGGGAGGACAAGAGCCCTGAAGCGACGGCTGCCAGATGTGCCCGGAGCACCAGCACTCACCATCCTGAGGGATTCCATCCCAACAGCAAACCAGCCTCTTTTCTCACGTCTCACTGCCACTCTTCCCTCCACCCTGATCTAATCTCAGCCTCTTTCTTTCCCAGGAGGGCACTTTTCAGCCTTTCCTGCAGCTCAGCCCTGGCTCTGGCTCACCATGGGAGCCCAGCACAGTCTTTGCCCACAAGGAACTCGAGGGACATCCCTGAGAGACAGAGGTGGGAGCCAGCACTGCCCTCCGAGCTGAAAGCCTTTGGCAGGGGGTTGGATCACAGCTTTTGGGTCACTCAGCTCAAGGCCCTGTCCCTTCCTCCCCAGGTACAGGTGATGTGGGTGCAGTGGCTGTTGTCCCTCTCCCTTCACCTCCAGTGGCTTCTACTCCGAGAATGCCTTTTCCCCTCCATATGAAAGGGAAATTTTGCATCCTTTTGAGCAGCACAGACAAGGTGGAGGATCTGTTGGAGCTGCAAGAGAAGCCTGGACAAGATTAGCTCATAATTACAGGATAATAAGTTATCTTCCCCTTTTATTTTTTTGCAGTTCTTTCAAGCAGTGAAGAATTATGCAAATCCTTTCTGTCTTTGTTGTTTTCTCTGCAATCCCGTGCCAGTATTGGGGTTGATTACATTATTAATGTAATCTGGCATCAGTCAGGAAGAGCCCAGGATTACTGGGAATTCTGTCAGTCTCTGGACTCCAGCTCAGGAGATTTGTTAACTCACACTGGGGTGAGCAGCTCTCTGTCCCTGTGCTGGATGTTTCTGCTCCTGAACAAAGCCAGAACACTGAATTTACTCTCTCCTCTAGCCCCAAGGGAGAAAAATGATTGTCTTTTCTACAGCCATTGAGCTTAAAACCCTCAGGCCATTCATTAGTGCTGAACAGGCAGAGGGAAACAATTAAAATAATGTGTCACTAGTGAACTTATCCTCAAAACCCAAACCAAACTGAGGGTGACCCAGGCCCAGCATCAACCCCTGAGACATGAATGTGACCCACTGGACCAAGAGAGGTGCAGAGCCTGAGTTCTCTTGCTCAAACCTTCTGCCCAGTCTCTGTTCTCCTTTAGGCTCAAGTTCCACCCACCACTGGTGCAACAAAATGCTTTTAATTAAGAAAAGCCTTGCAGAACGAATTGGGGAAGGGTGGGGAACCACCCAAAGCGCAGCTCAGACGTGGGGTTCTGACAGAAATGGAGTGACCTCGTTAAAAATTCACAGTATAACTTCCATCAAAGGATCTGTCCGGGTGCCAGAGATCCAAGACTTTGGGAATACACAGAACTGAAGAGGTCAGGCACTCCCAGGAAGAAACTCATTCAGCTGTGGGTTAAGGTCTCAGAAACTCCAAAATGCCTGGGAGGTACTAGAAGGGCAGGTGTTCAGTTCTCCTTCTCAACAACACACATAGTTGTTGTTGAAATTATATATATAATCTCAAATATATATGAGACATATATATATATAAATATAAAGGCAGACACTGGCCAACATCCCTGCTCTGCATTAGTCCCCCTTGCAGTCAGACCTCCAGTAAGTTACTTCACTGAGCTGTAATGACTGTAATTAATTCCCTTCTCCCTCCTGGCCACGCAGTTCCCCTCTCAAACCACACAATAACATAACTCTGAATCAGGACCAATTAATAACAGCCTTGAGCATGTGATGCAAACAAGGGGGGCCAGTGCCAAGAGCTTCATAAACACAAAAAGACCCAGGAGAAGATGCACTTAAAGATTTTTTTTTTTAATATAAATTTAAAAGCTAAATTTAAGCTAAAAGCAAAAATAAAGATCAGCTCCTGAAAGTCCCAGAGCCTTGCCAGAGTTCCCCCTGGATTCAGACTTGTCCCAGCACATCTTGATAATGGATGGACCTTGAAAGGGAGTCAATACCAGCCAAGAGTTCTGTAGGACCCAGTTTAGGTCCTACACAAGCCCTGAGTTCCTAGGAAAGCTCAGCTGCTCCAGAAATCCCAGGACATGCAATGCCACATCATCCCAGGCTGGGAGAGCAGAGGATTCACAGGAACAGCCAAAGCTCTGGGGGAAAACCACCCAAATTTTTTGTGCCTCCACTGTTTGGTTGCCCCAGATTGCACACACACCTCTGACAACCTGACTCCACTGGGATGCACCATCACCTTCAGGGATCCTTTGCCAAAAGGGACTCAACCAGCCCTAAACACACCTCGTTGCCCTACGAGATATTTCTCTATTTTGATCAGATATCTCTCTATTCAGATTTCTCCCTGAATGCATCCACCTTCCAAACAGAACATACAGGTATTTGATACCCCACACCCCTCCCAGGCATTTGAGAATCAGATCCCTTCTCCTACCTGACTTTCCTGAACTGCAGCTCCAGCTGGATATTCCACAACCGCCAGCAGAGCCACCACAGGGAACAGGCACAAAAATCCCACCACGGTTCTCCAGCCACTGCTCTTTTTTTTGTCCAGTGAGGGGAAGCCTTTCCTCCTGTCTGCACAAAGTTCTTCTGCTTGATCCATGTCTCTCTTTAATAGCTTTTGGAGGGAGCTGGGACAGGCACTAAGACATCCCCTGCACTGAGCTCATCTTGTGCTCACATTTGGAGCATCTGTGAGGAGCCCGTTGCAGCTCCTGCCAAAGCTGTGCAGAACCACCAAAGCTTCAAAAAAAAGCTCTCAAAAAATTAAAAAAAAAAAAAAAAAAAAAAAAAAGGAAAAAAAAAAAAGTAGACTTTACATTAAGCCTCTTCCCAATGTGCCAGAGATTCTCTCAGGCTCTGCCAAGTGGGATCATGTTACTGCAGCTGAAATTTGGGCTGGCGGAGGAACAGCAGCAAAGTGAAACAAGCTGGGGTGGACATGAACTCCTTTCTTTAACTGTGTAATCAACAGGGGACAGATCTGCAGTTGTCAGCTTTATGTAATGAAAGAATTGGGGGAGGGGGCAGCACAGGGAATCCAGCAGCCAGCATCATGCCCTTGGAATGTTTCATTAGGGATGCTGAACGCTCGAGAGCTGTCATTTGTCAAGGGCTTGTCTTCAGGAGGAGAGAGAGAAAAACGAGATGCAGTGAGAGCAGGCAGGGCTTTCTCTGCTTGGGAAACTGCTCGGGGAGTTTACAAACTCACAGAAAAGTAAACATCAACTCCCTCTCCCATCAAGCTCAGCAAGGGATGTGCAAGTTTCTGGTGTACTTGGGTTATCGCGCTGAGGCAGACGAGTATTTTCAGAACCGTACTGATTTTGGGGTCACACAGACTGACCTGGGGAAGTGGCCACTTTGTCTTGAGCTGGGAGGTTCTTGGAGGCATATCCAGGCTCCAGACTTTGAATCGGTTCAGGACTTTTTAAAAAAAGCTTACTCAGAAATTCTCAGGTTTTCAGAGACAGCTGCACTTTCCTGTGGGGTCACCCCCTGGTCCTGAGTGGGGGGAGTGACCTCAGCTCCAGTTCTGCCTAGCCAGAGGAAAAGGAACTCTGCAAGCTCCCAGTTTCACAAGCAAATGCCAGGCAGAGGGGGGTTAGGTCTCTTGCCAGCCCCTATAAAACATTCCTTGGGGGTATCCGAGGCATTTGAAAGGTTTCAGAAAATTCTTGTAATTGTAATAAAGAAAAATTGTTTCATTTGCATTTTTTCCCCCTAGTTCATGAGCTTGCAACATTTCATGTATTTTCAGACTAAAGCTGGCCTGGAGCTTTTCAAACAACTCAGAATAAATAAGACCAATGAGTCTGTGTGTAAAATTGCACGAAAATTTTCCCTTTCCATTCCCACCAAGCTCTCCCCTGGAGAAAACCCATGTTTTCTGCAGAGAGAGGACAACGTGCAGCAGTTGTTCAGATACCAGAAAGACAGAATAAGGGGTAACATGGAAGGAAGCCATGGATAGAATTACAAAGGGAAGCTGGAACTGTGATGAAAAGCAGAAAGTCAGGGTGCAGGGCTCTACCTCCCATGGAATTGGCTCACCTCAGCTGCTGCTGCAGCTTTCTAGGGATGGTTCCTCCTTCCCCAGTAGCACAGTTGGCAGAAGGAACGTGCCTGTGCATGAACCCTCTGAAAAAGCCCTTTGTTTGGAGCTCCAAAGAGAGATGCAAATGCAGCTCCGTTTGTGGTTTGAGCTGCAGATCAAAGCACCAAGTGAGAAAGTGGGAACAACAAACTCCTGAAGGATCAATGCCTCGAGTCCCCCGAACAAGCTGCTTTCTGTAGGTGAGAACACACCTACAAAGACTGATTGAGAAGGGAGTCTTGAAGGAAAAGCTGCCTTGGAATGAGGCTCAAAACCTTCAGCCAAGAGCTCTTCTCCAGTAAAACAGCACTGGCTTGAAAAGAAAAATATTGCTATCAAAGAGTGCTGGAAGAACACTGAGTTTCGGCCACAGAACTGCGCAAGAGCTTCGAGTGCCTCTGCCTTTCACCCAGCCAGGAAGAGTCAGCAGTGCTTGAAAATCAACTTATGCACTGCACATCCACCTCCTGCCACAGCACCTGAGCACCTCGGAGCAGGGGATCTCACACCAGTCCTGACTGCACTGAACCTGCACCTTGCAGGGTGAGACCCACGGCACCGGGCAGGTAGAGGGTGGAATCTTGAAGAACAGCAACCTGAAATCTTCTGAGCACACAGTCAGGGCCTTGTTTCTGTGAAGAGGAGCACAGGAACCTGAGCTTTAAAGCACAGACTGGGAACTCACACAACCACAGCCCGAGGGAACCAGGAATTTCCTTTGTCCCATTGTAAAGAAAGCTTTTGTAAAATACTTCCCAGCACAGAGCCTTGCAGAGTTACTGTACAGAGCTTTAGTAACAGTGCATTCTTAGGATCTCATTGATTCTGAATACTTATTCATGCAGTTACTAAAGGTTAGCACAGCCAAGACAGCCCTTTTCCCAGGAGTTACTGGAATATTCTGGATGGGAAGGGACCATACTGCACATGAGCCATTTATCCTGTGCCACATGCAGTGCCTGAATGGGAATCTTTACCTGCAGAGACGACTCACAACCTCTGTGACATTTAGGATCCTGCTTCCCTGTCAGGGTAGCAAGCAGGTTACACCTGGATGGATCAGGAGTGAGAGCAGGGTCTCCTGGAAAGCCCTTAGTTCACTTCCCCCCCTATGCTGGGAATGCTCTGTGCCCATTCACCCAGAAATCCAGCGCCTGTGCATCCAACCCCACCAAGCCACTGGCTGCAGGATGCTCTAAAAACTCTTCAAGTTCAAGCCAAATATTTGTTGAGAAAGCACCTCAGCAGCAAGGCCAGGACAAAGCCCAGTTTTTGGGGCAGTGAAAGCCCGGTGGGGAGAGCTCTTGTGCTGAGGCATTCAGGGCTCACAGACGGAGCTCGTGGAGCCAAGGGGGACACATGAACCCACTGCTGTGCACAAACAACACTCCTGAGAAAGCCTCTGTGCACCTGGATCCACCAGGGCACCAGCTCTGGCCAGAATTCCCAGTGTCACTGGTGAATGTATTCCCCACACTCAGCTCTGAGGGAGCTGCTGCAGCCTCAGAGTTCTGCTGAGCTCGAGAGGTCTCAGGTTCTGGAGTGAGGATATTTGGTTTGGACTCCAGGCAAGGACTGTCATCCTGACTATATTTGGACAGAAAAACATTCCTGGCTTTGGTTTCTGCACAGTGTCTGAAAGCAGTGGAACACATTACACTGAGGGAACCCATATGGTGGGATGGGGAAAGGGAAGGGAGGCAGGCACAGAACTGACTTTGCTTTGTCTTCATGCTCTTGGCAGTGCCCAGGACCTGGATATCTTTTGGAGGGAGCTGGGATTGTCCAAGCAAACAGTCAGGGATGCGTATCCCGAGATCCCTGCATGCACTAAATGTCCCTGGAGCAGCAGGCTCTGACCAGCTGTCAGGAGGGAAGGAATGTTTATGTGGAATGTTGCATAAAACCCACAATGGCCAACTAGAGACTATGGAAAACATAAAGCCCTGGATCATTTGCACAGCACAACATGCTTTCCTTGTTCAGTCACCTCAGCCTGGCTTTGCTCTTTTCACTTAATTGCTGAAATGTTCAAAGGGGGGCTGCTGTGTAATGCACAACATATGGCTCCATTCCCCAGGGCAAGCTTTAGCTCAAATATAAATACTTTTTCACTTCTGTGGATTATTCTTAGTATTTCTCTCCTTTCCTTTATTCAGCACCGTTAACATTAAATGTTATTTTCAGCACTATTTCCAGCATCTCTGCCCCATCCCAGGGCAAAGCCAGCCCTGGTGCCCAGGCCAGGGAGGACACTGGCACTGCTTCACTCAAGTCCCCAAAACAGCACGAGAACAATCCATTACAACAAATATCACAACAATCCACAACAACAAACTTGTGCTTAGAGATGCCACAGAGAGAACAACCATCAGAGCTAGAACTGCAGCTGCCTGACTGTCCCAAGGGAATCTCACCTCTCACGAAACCTCTGGTTTATTCACAGATAAGAGCCCATTATTCAGGATTAAAACAAACCACCCCTGTCAGCTTCCCCCGTTGTGGACTGGGAGTTCTACACGGAGGTGGGAAAGAAGAAGAACCTGATCTCTGACCGTGTCTGATGGCTCAAGGCACGAGGATCAACATCTCATCTCCAGGGCACTGGTCCAAACCCAGCCCCAGGCCAGGAAAGGGGAAAGCACAGGGGTGAACATGATTTACCACAGATCAGCTCCTTGGTGGCCCATGTGAAAAGAATTAGGAAACCCTCATATAGCTCTTATTTTTAAAAGCACTTACAGATTTAGCCCTGCAGCTCACAACCTGGGGGGGTGGGGAAAACAACCCAACATTCCTGCCCGGGGTTCCTGTGGGAATGGCAGTTCAAATTTGTGCTTTTTCAGGGGGTCAGGCACTAAAAAAAGGATTGTATGTGCTGCAACAGGGAGCAGCTTTCCCTGGGGAGGGGGAGAACAATAATGATGCTCTTCAGCCCCCAAACATTCTCCCGCTTTCTGTCGTGCAGCCCCTCGTGATCAGCATCTGCTGATGTTCCTAGAAAAGTCCACGGTCTGATGAATAACAAATGAGCTGAAAACAAGGGCTCGCTCCAGCTGGCAAAGAAAATGGAATATTTTGCTTAACTGTCAGTTGGAGCTGCAGCTCACAGAGGTGCCTGCACTGGCCTGACCTCGTGTGACCAGAGAGCCCTGACCCCAGGCGGGAGCTCAGCCACGGCCACGCTGGATGTCAGGAATGAAAAAGAGGGAGAAATTCAGAAATGAGGGAGAAATTTTTCCTCAAATCACAAAGATAACAAAGTGCATCCACAAGGGAGGAAGAACTGCTTCCCTGCGTGGGGATGGTTTTGTGGTTGGGGCTGTTATTAATGACCTGTAATCCACTCGTGGATGGACCAATCCTCCCGAAATTCTGGGAGCAGCACGGACTAGTGGGAACAGAATCGAAGGAGAGATGGGCTCTTTACCTGACTCTGCCTTTCAACAATCTCCCTCTCTACTCCCTCAGTCTCACGTTGTCTGTAAAACGTGGATTTTTGGTCATGCTTCTGAAGGAAGAGCTTTGGAAACCCCTGTGCCAAGCATGAGACCAGCTGACATCTCATAACTAAAGCTGTGCACCTGAAAAACTCGGGAATATCTAAGGCACAGAGCTGCATTCAGGAGATGACAGAAGCTCCAGTGAAAACCAGGAGCTCCCCAGTTCGTTTGTGGGAGAGCAACTGGAGATAAACATCC